ATCATAGTTTTACTTGATTGTTCATAACTAATGGCTGATTTTTATCAGTTTTGTTTAGAAAATAGCTGCAAGATCAGTGTGTTTGTGTCCAGATATAAATATGATATTACATGTACCAGTAATAACTGTAGTCATGTCTTGACACAAACACATTAGGCAAACAAAATATCGCTGGTATTACATAATCTAGACTTGACTTTACTGGCGATAATGAAGAGAAGATTAGAAAAGATGTGGGGTCAATGTTCATGAGACAATAGTCTAATAATGGTCTAATGAAATACCAGTCACTGAATTAATGATACATCAAAGAAACATTGATTTTATTGAAGTTCTTCATCTAGATAGTTGCTGGAGGGGCAATGAACTAATGAGAAGTAAATCTCAGCAAGATGTAAATGCTCCCTAACTTAGCTGTAATATTATGTGTTCATGGATCGCCATATATGCAAAATAAATCATCAGAAACCATACAAGAATGGAAAAGTCTTTCCACAAGTTTTATCATTAGTTGCCCAGCTAAAAGACAGATGAAAACTTGGACCTCGACAAAATTTGAAATTAATGTAATACTGTAAATTCAGAAATTTTTCCAATGTTTTTATTATTGTGAAAATTGCTATGTGATAGGTATTTATAAGCAACATTTCCTTAAATCGGAATGATTAATCTCACAATTTTGTCCATTGTTCAAAAATCGCATTAGTAAATGCATGCACAAATTTGTGAATTTACTGTTATTAATTGGTAATTTTTTAATGCTTAAAGCATGGTTTTACTGAGTTGTAGGTTGTTTATGGATGTTTTATTCAATAAAATTAGTTTATATCAACAAACTATTTTAAACTAATGTTCTCTTGTGTAGTTTGCATGACAAAAAAATCCAATTACATCTATGAGTTCAGTACTTAAACTTAAATGTGTAATGTTTTAGAAATATTATTACTTTGGGGAATTGTAAAAAAGTCATAATTTTGATCAACTTTTTTCAGTTCATGTACATAAATAGCAGCAAGAAACAAAGTTTATCATGTAATTTTAGAAAAAGCTTGTGGGAATTTTGAAAACTAATTTTAACAATTTTGCATCAGTTATTGTGCAATTTTCACAACTGGTAAACTGTACAAATGATTGATAATAATTGTAATGGTGTTTTCTACATGTATGATGAATGTGTGAGAGTTTTATATACATGTGGTGGTCATTATCATCAAATATTAACAAATGACCATTACTTGATTACTATTTAACACAATAATTACATTTTGACTGTTAGTCTGAGTTTTTTTTTGGCAAGAAAATCAAGGTTGATTGCACAATTGACTTTATTGCTTTGTTAACAGGCATCTAAATGGCTATAAAGTGCCCTCTGTGGACACTTTATCATAAGATTTGATGGCATTTTGATAAATACACTTCCCAGAAGAGAGTATTTAGACATTTTCTGTTAAACAAATACATAGATTTATACTTTATGCCAGTTTCAGATGCATAATAAATGTTAGAAAGAAGTCTTGGGTTATCATATTTGTTAACAAATTCTGACTTTTTATCATTTAAAATTGAACCAGATACAATCATTCTGACACCTAAGTATACAATTGAGACTTGAAGTTCTTGATCTGTTTATTACACAATATAAATGAGATTTTTTCTGGTTTTCCATTGCACAAGAAAAACATATTCATTTATTTACATGATCTTTGATCTCTATCATAAATGATTTCATGTTGATTTTTATAAAGAAATAGCCTCATTAATGAATTTCCTGCTAATTTTGTAGTGTTTTTACACCATGTTTAAAGATAAAATCATGTTTTCTTTGCAAGCAAATTAGTTACTTTATACAGTTGCTGAGTCTAAGAAAACATCAGTATTTGGTATCTCCTGTTGTGAATTCTGAAAGTGCTAGTAAATAAACACAGTCACTGAATACAGTGTATAATTCTAAAAGTGCTAGTCAATAAATATACAGTCACTGAATACATCCACTTTATTTGAACTTTGGTGGATAGTTGTCTTGTTGGCAATCATACCACATCTCCTTATTTTTATATAGTTCTAAGTTGATTCCATCTCATGCTAGAAACTTGTGGAGCTTCCATCTCATTTATTTCAAATTAAAAAAAAAAAACCAACTAACCCCGGTATGACTTGTCATATTGTGTATCACAGTTACGCCCCCAGTGTGACTTGTCAACTTCTACATGACTTGTCATATTGTGTAACACAGTTACACCCCCAGTATGACTTGTCAACTTCTACATGACTTTTCATATTGTGTAACACAGTTACTCCCCCAGTATGACTTGTCAACTTCTACATGACTTGTCATATTGTGTAACACAGTTACTCCCCCAGTGTGACTTGTCAACTTCTACATGACTTGTCATATTGTATAACACAGTTACTAAAGTGCAGATATAGAATATTGTACTTAAACTTAAAAACTTTATATAATAAAGATAAAATTGAAACAAAAGTTTCATAAACAGAAGAAACCAGAGTTCTAAGATAATGTAGGTTAATCAGTGTTCTAATAGCATTTTGATGGATAGAATGTAGTGGGAAATGATTAAAAAAACTGTTAAAATTATATTTACCCTCCCAATGCAAAATATGGATAATGAAGAATGATAATATGGCACCACTGAGAAATAAATATCCGATAGGTTTTAAATTGATAAATCTGTAGAGAAGAGAGAAATCTATTTCATTGTGGAATTCCAATTTTATTATTAGGATTGTGTTTCCTATGGGGAAATTTGTAATTTAAAAAGTGAGCATTTTGCAACAGACGTGGAAGAAATTTGACGACAATTGATGAAGAGACCTGCAAAGCCAAACAAGCTCAGTCTATTATTCTGTAATAAGTATCTGATGCTATAAATTGGACGCAAATTGAACATAAAAAAGGTTTTAATATTACATTGAATTAGATGTAATCTTACTAGATGCTTGTAATTGGTAACATTGCTTCCCTTAATACAATACATTCCATTAGATAAAGAATTGAAACGAGTTGGTCAGATTCATCAACTATTGTCGGAAAAACTGTTGAATCACGAAGACCTTAATCAGTTTCAAATTATTATTTCTCTAATAATCAATTTAATTGGGTCCGTTAGTTCACTTAATAACAATTCTACACAGTATTGACAATTTTTAAGCCTTTAACGGATGTTGAAGCGTGATTGGCAGTTCTTGATTGGGATAAAACAACCTCATTTACTTGTTTTAGTGACAAATAAGCTGAAGTAATAACTATTCGTTATCATTTGTCTTACAGTGACATTAATACAGTGGGGATAAAAGTAACTTTAATCTATGATGACTGATTCACCCTCTAAAACCGAGGATGTTAATGGGGTTTACATTATCCCCTATTTTTAACCTATGATGACTGATTCACCCTCTAAAACGGAGGATGTAAATGGGGTTCATTGGATCCCCTGTTGAAAATTCTGTCCAGGCATGAGTTTAGTATTGGAAAGAATTTACTATTAGGTATTTTGTACAAGAAACAAAACTGTTAATTTTGACAAAAGTGTGCAGGCATGATTTTATGGACATTTATAGAAATAAACTTTTTTTAGAAAAATGATGGCAACAATATACATTAGGTTATTCATTTATCTGTTGAAATGTTGGTTGTCAGTCTGCCTAGCAATCAGATAATATATACATTAATGGTCACCTCTATAGATCTGTTTTTGTTTTGTTTTGTTAATGTTGTTGGTTTGCTGTTCATTAATTTATGCCCCAAATCTTTTTATTGATGTCAATGTCTTTGTAGTTCTATCTGTAGTTTTGGTCAGTAAATCAGGGATGAAATGTCATGATCCTTCACACTGACCCTCATGTTTGGGTCATTACTGGTCAATAGTACTGGTCATAGATCATGATTAGCCAGGAAACTGGACATTGTTATACAAGTAATGATGGGATAATGATGTGTCAAAAGGAAATAATTATCTGCCTGTTTCTCATGCAACATGGTGTTAGTCATACTGACCAGTGGTCATTTGAACAAAATCAGACAATAATTCATACAAATCACTTGTCTCTTGAATGTCAAATGTCCAAAAGAAGTTAAATTTGTATGTGATTATTTAAGTAATGCCCACATGACACTAATCTAGCAGAAAAATGTTGTGCAAGGAAATAGAAAATGAAAGATTTAAGGGTAGTTGTTTTTCATCTTTTTTTCAATACAGTGTTGGAATCATAGTAAATATAAAATTAAAATGTTTTCAGAACTTCACTGAAATATTAATTTCAGAATAACTGATTGCACAAAATATCCTTTAAACTGGACTGCAGCAAATCTAGACTGAGATAGGAATAAAAATGCCTTAATCTAGTCTCTTTTTTCTGCAACCAATCAGTTGAATTTTAAGTTCTATTACTGGGAGCTGTATAAAATCCTGGTGACTGTTGATTGCAAGCTTTGATTAATCTGAAATAACCTCTTTAACAGGATAAATTTTGATTTCAGTAAGTTTCAGTTTTATAGTTTGTGATAATTACAGAATGAAGTGATCAGTTGTAAGAGAATACATCTTTGTTCAGGCATGTTCACGATAAATATTTTCACAAAAGTTCAACAGTCCAAATATTTTGTTTAAAATGTTTTTGAGTGAAATTTCTACAATGTTTTTATGCCCCAGTCGTAGTGGAGGGGGCATTATGTTTTACCCTTGTCCGTCTGTACGTCCATCGGTCCTTACATCCATACATCCCGAAATTGGTTTCCATTCTCTAACTTTAGTTTGCCTCAACCAAATGTTATGAAACTTATACACAATTCTTATTACCACAAAACTCAGTTCAAGTAGGAATTCGGGTAGCGTCACTGTTACCGTTCTTTAGTTATGTCCCTTTATCATGTTATATGCAAGCAGGGGCATTATCTGTGTCCCAATGGACACATTCCCCATTAATTTCAGTATTATATATTGTATATGACTTGATTAAGGATTTTGTTTTTCTTTTTGCAGTGTTAGAAGACTTTAGAATGGATTCATTTGAGCCAAGATTAATACCAAACTTTCCCATTGTTGTACCAATACATAAGCCATTTACACTCAAAGTGTTCCAGCCATATGGCCAGCCAAAGCCATCTATCAGGTATGCCTAAGCTAAAGCCAAGTTAGCCAGTATTTGTACATACATTGTTTACATCTAAAGCCTTTGTATGGTAGAATAGACCTTGCTGGATGTCGAGTAAGAACATCTGTTTTAAAGTGTCAGCTTAAGCCTGATTAAAAATAAAACCTAATGTATTGGACACTTACTGGTAAATTAAGGAATAGTGAAAAATAATATGTCTCAGGTTATTAACAGCATAAGTAGTTGGCCAAAGTTGTAAAACCAATATTCAGAACAATGTAGACTGTAGCAAATATTTAGTTGATAAAAGATATTTCACACTATATCGCAATATATTATGGTATCAAATTTAATATGGCAGTATAAAAGTTTTAAATTTGGCAATATATTAATTTCTACAATTTCCACATAAATGTGAAAAAAATATCCTCCAAAAAGGGTAATTATCTTATCAAGCAGACATATTAAAATACTGCAATGACAAGCATGCAAGACTGATTCTGGGTAACGTAACCATGTTGGATGCCAAAAAAATAAATTCATATACAGTGTAGGTTAGTGAACTGGTTCTTAATCTTTAGTTCTAAATTATGTATGCTCTTAATTTAGTTGTAAATAAGGTATGCTCTGAGATTAGTTCTAAATTATGTATGCTCTTAATTCATTTGTAACTTAGGAATGCTCTGACTTTAACTGTAACTTAGGTATGCTCTGACTTTAACTGTAACTTAGGTATGCTCTGACTTTAACTGTAACTTAGGAATGCTCTGACTTTAACTGTAACTTAGGTATGCTCTGACTTTAACTGTAACTTAGGTATGCTCTGACTTTAACTGTAACTTAGGAATGCTCTGACTTTAACTGTAACTTAGGTATGCTCTGACTTTAACTGTAACTTAGGTATGCTCTTACTTTAACTGTAACTTAGGTATGCTCTGACTTTAATTGTAACTTAGGTATGCTCTGACTTTAACTGTAACTTAGGTATGCTCTGACTTCAACTGTAAAATTGGAATGCTCTGACTTAAGTTGTAAATAAGGTATGCTCTGAGTTTAGATGTGATAATTTTATAGAAAGGAAGAAGCATCATTCTGTGATGGAAGGAAATTAAGATTTCTATCAGGAATAAATGGTTAATTGTTGGAATAAACTTCCAGCTAGATAATTTCCTTTATTATACCTTGTAACGATACAGTAAAGAAATAATCGGATTATCCAATATCCATTTTACCTGTGATTAAAGCATTTGTCTGGCTTTGAACCTTTACTAATGTTAATGTGTGGCAGTATATTGCTTCAAGTAATTGTCTTGTAGAATAACAAATAAATTGTTCAGAGATCCGATAAACAAACTTATAAATAAGAATTTCAGTGTCTATTTGACAATTTGTACAAACAAGAAGGCAATTTAAAACATTTATTGTTTTTGTAAATCAAAATTTAAAATTGGGATTTATGTGGATGCATTAATCAAACATTTGAAATAAATAATTTTGGGATGATTAGACTCATTTCTCAGACTTATTTTTCTCATTGTCAAAGTCCACATACAGAATTATAATTGCTTATATCCTTGTCATTGAACTCTAGTGGATAATTGTCTCATTGGCCATTATACCACATCTCCTTATTTTTATACGCTCGTTTACGGGACGTATTATGGTATACCGCTGACCGTCTGCCGTCTGTCCGTCCGTCGTCAACATGTGGGACATTAATTCAAAAATGCTTTAACCAATATGCATGAAACTTTGGTGAATTGTTTATATCTATTGACGTGAGCTCCCTTTCGTTTTTTATAAATTTCAGATTTACCATTTCCGAGTTTTGGGGTTTTATTCATTAAAAAAGGGGGGATTTTCCAGTTTTCGCACAATAACTCAAAAGCAATTTCACCAATTTGCATGAAACTTTTGTGAATTGTTCATGTCTATTGACGTGAGCCTCCTTTTGTTTTTTATAAATTTAGGATTTACCTTTTCCGACTTGTGGGGTTTTATTCATTAAAAAAGGGGGATTTTCCAGTTTTCAGACAATAACTCAAAAACAGTTTCACCAATTTGCAAGAAACTTTGGTGAATTGTTTACTTCTATCGACATGAGCTCCCTTTTGATTTTTATAAATTTCAGAATATGTATTTTTTTTATATAAATAAAAATCTTGAAAAAACATTGTCAGAAACTGACTCTCATTTCACTGTATAAAGAACTAAGGAATATCAGTACATTGTACTGCAAGACTAGCTTTAAATGTCTGGAGTAACCAAATTATACATAAAATTCAACTGTAGTAAAAACCCTACAGTATGTATATATGTGTAATTTTGTTGTAATGTCTTCTACTGCGATATTTGTATTTTGGTGTAATAAGCAATAAAGATTTCTATACTTTCATAATAGAAATTTTCTTGTTAATTTTACTAACAAAATCATAATTAAGTGATTTTCTTAAAAATGTTGAAAAATGCAATTAGAGGTCTTTTCTTGTTTGAAATATGTACATGTGATTTGATGCCAAATGATTGTATTTCTCATTAATTTTATTGAGTGTAAAGGAAGAATTCATCAGATCAACACAGTCTTAATCAGCCATTCCAAACGTCATAAGAAACCATTCCAAAGTTTTACATGGAAAATAGACTTACGAACATGATTTGAATGGCATCTTTCTTTTGAAGGTTTTAATATCAAAGGATGGTTTTAATAATGTAGCAATAGTTATACAAATTAATTTTATCGAAATTATTATGGTCTTTATATTAATTAACGTTATAATGTTTTGTGCATAATTTGATCAAAATATACTCCCATGTAGACTCGTGATGCACAAAATGAACATTAAACAAATCTTTTTTAAACAACATAAATACATTTTAAATAGATCTTCAGGACTTCAGCATTCGTTTTGTAATTATGTAATTGTTATTACATCATATCACTGATAAAATATCTAACTGCACAATTTTTAATTTTAGTTACTGTAGATATGAACATATGGTCACAAAATCACTGTTTTTACAGGTGCATCTTGATGGCATAAAAAAAAATTATATGAAATGAAACTGTACGATCTACTATGGAGTGAAAATAAGATTTTAAATGTCAAGGTTGATAGTAAAATTCAATGAAATTTCAGTTTTAGTTTTCTCTAGAATTTAATTTAGAAGCAATATAAAACATGATTAAGTGTAAATTAATAGATGACTTCAAATTCATGCTTTTTCCCCTGTCACAATGCTTTAATAATACTATTACACCACAGAAAGAAAAGATTGACATTTTTTTCAATGACGTCATTTACGCCAATTGACCTCTGGTCAACCAGTGTAACTTATTCATAAAAAACAAGTCTAGATTGGACTATAAGATTTGATATATGTCATAGTGACATCATAATTATAGTGTTGTAATTGTGCATTTTGTAATTTGATTTAACATATGTAAAAGTGATTAAGATTACCAAAATAGCAAAAATCAGCAAATTTGGGATTTGACTCATGACTTCTCATGTTTTATTACTATATTACTAGAAAAAATATGTTGGTGCTCTCTGGACTATATCATGTTTATTTTCAAAATACTAATATCTTTAAACTTTTTCATCAAATACTGAAATTTTGGACTACTTCAAGATGTCTACACATACATATCATTTTTACTAAAATCTTAATTTTTCTTTAAACAACAAAGAGTTTTTTTAAAATGTGCCCAATACATTTGACCTTCTTCTTCCCTTTTCTTTTATTAGTCCCCTACCGACGAAGTTGAAGGGGGGGACTTTAGGTTTGCAGTCTGTCTGTCTGTCTGTCTGTCTGTCTGTCCGTCTGTCAGTCCGGCAAATCAGTTTTCCACACTTTTTTTCTTCGTGCTTGAAGATATTGATTTGATATTTTGTGTATTGTTTAATCATATCAAGTTACAGATCAAGTTCGAATTTTGTTCCTGTCTGACGATTTTATGCAGAGTTATGGTCCTTGGACTTACAAAATTCACTCAAATAATCAGTTTTCCTCACTTTTTTTCCTCATGCTTGAAGATATTGATTTGATAATTGGTATATAGTTTTATTATGACAAGTTACAGATCAAGTTTGAATTTTGTTCCGGTCTGATGATTTTGTGGAGAGTTATGATCCTTAGACTTAGAAAATTCACTCAATTAATCAATTTTTTCACATTTTTTTTCGTCATGCTTGAAGATATTGACTTGATATTTGTTATATAGTTTACACCATGACAAGTTATAGATCATGTTGTTCCAGTACAATGAATTTTTAATCGGTAGGGGACTATGTATTGCCAGGCAATACTCACAGAATGCTTGTTTAGATGCAAAATTGTTCTTTTCAGTGGCAGTCTACTACAGGTGGGAAATGATGAGTAATCCCCCCTTACACATGACTTGTACATGTATAACACTTTGATTTGGTATTGATTGATTTATAATCCAAAACTATAAAAGAATTATGGTATAGATACTTGTCTATCATTTAATGACCTCAATATGTCATTTCTACTTTTACTGTGTTGTTGGATTTCTGTCTCAATGATGTACAGTGCACACCATATTCCCTTTTATTAATATACAGAGCTACATGTTGTTAGAATTTGTATTTTATTATTTACTATCCAATAAACTTTGAAAGAATTCTTAATGTGACAGATAAACGAAGCTTGAAAACTCTGCATTTTTTAGAGATAAATGATTCAAGATGGCAAAAAAAGGCTTTTGTTGAAGACTTAATCGTTTAACCTCTAGATGTCTTTATCATTTTGTTGTGTCTCAGTGTTGTATCTTCCAAATTTTGAATTGTATTAAGAAACTGAACGTAGACATTGTCAACCTTATAGACAGGAGAACCGTACACTAAATTTGCATGGATATCTTAACTGATTTTTGTGAGCTGTAAAAGTTTCAGGTAGACTATATATAATATTTACTGTATTTCACAGTTATTTCAATTTAAATCGTAATATTATATTTTATGACTTTAGCATTTAAGTTTTGTGACTCCTCTTGTGATATCATCTCTTTATTATCTGTATCAATTTATGGAAAATTCTGAATATAATGAAGTAGTAGATAGTTAATAATGAAGAATGAATATTTTATAGTCCAAACTAAATGAATTAGACCAGACACTCATAAAATGGCAAAATGGAATTTTAGTACCAGTATACACCAGAAAACTCTTACATAATGGTAGATATTTTTTCCTGATTTTATCAGTAAATTTGATAAGATTTCTCTGAAGTGGTATGGTAACCTATGGTGCACTGATGGTATCAGAAACTATATTTATAAATCTTGCACAATGTCATTTTCAGTTTTCCTAATAGATTTATAATTGTGTCGATTTCTGTTGCCCTGGTATTATATCATTTTAGAATTAGAAAAAAATTCAGCCCTTTGTAATTCTCTCTAATAAATTTGGTTGATGCCATGGTTAATTTTCTTTGAAACAAGTAGAGAAACAAGAAAACTTTATCATGAACTATTGCCTTAGATAACAAAATTTGGATTAGGTTATTCAAAGTAATAATCAAAGAATAACATAAAGATGTTAAAATCCCATTTCGATAAATATTTCACAATTCTCAAGAAAATATCTCCTCTGCATTTTGTGTGTAGATTTCAGTCTGTTTGACAATCAGGGTAGAGAAGTAATTGACAGGATTATCTCTAAATGTGCCATTACTTTTAGGTTGGTTAACTATTATGCTATTTTCTCGACCCATTGAATCAACATTTATCATGAACTAATGAGAAAATAAAGGCAATGTCCTGTTAAAAACATTAATAGCTATGGTAATCTAACATGAGTTAACATCCAAAGCTATAAAATAGTGATGGTCGTAATACAGATAGAAAATGTTGATTTTTCAGATCAATTATTTTGTTAATGTTTTTTTCTTCTTTTTTTGGTAGCGTGAATAGAAATCAGGCTGTATTAAAAAAAATTTCTTGTGGTATTTGTGCAATTCCTTAGAAAAAAGACATTTACACTGGTATTTGAACAACTAAAACAAAGCTACTTCAGACATGTAAATTAATACAAAATAAGCAAGTTAGACAAAACATTAATTATCAATTGTGCAACCCATCCCTTTGATATATTATCTCTCTTTGTTTATGTAACACATAAGAAAAAATAATGTCCTGAATGAGAAAGCGACTTGATTTATCTTTTTGTAATAAAGTCAGCATATTTATACAGGGCTAAACAAAGACCAGATGTTAAACAAAGAATTAGCATTGTGGTGTGTCTGTAACAACAACATCGTTGTCATACTTATTGTAATATGAACTTTTCCACTTATATACCACTTATATATCGTCTATGTCGATTGTCATTTAGTGAACTACAGAAAACAAATTTCTTGTTTGCAGAGTTAACTTTTCTTTTTTATAAGATTATTCCAAATAAAGATACTTTTAAGAAAAGACCCATTTCTTCTGGTGTTTAGTTATGGCAATGTGAACTGAAATTTATAGCATTGTGACCTGAAGTGTATTTTACACATCTTCCATAACAGGTGTACAAAAAAAAATCTTATTTGAAGAGTTTTCCTTACAAAAAAAATTAGTATTAAATTTTATTTTACAGTTGGTTTGACAGAAATGGAGACAAGATAGGTACAACAGGAAACATATATGTAGATGGAAACAACCTAGTATTTAAACACCCTGCACAGATAGATACTGGAAACTATACATGCAGAGCTTCAAATCTAGCTGGAATTAAGGATCAAACCGTTTGGACCATAGTTTCTGGTAGGTACTTTTTACCTATGCCTCACTTTTTGTGGATTGTCATACAAAAATTTACTACATACTGCAAGGAAAGAAGTCTATCATTGAAATTTTGTTAAAGTGTAAACCAGAGAAAGTGCCAGAAACTTTTAAAGCCTTTAAGTTTTTTAAGTTCTAAAATATAAGAATAATATAACACAGGGGTAACTAGCTCTTTGTTCTCTGGTCATCAGGTGAATATATTAAATCACATTTTTTAGGGTGTGTATGTCAAAATGTAGATCAACTCACATTATAGATTGCGGATGGGAGGATTGTTTGGCAGGGAAAAGTGAATATCTAATTTGTGTAATCAACTCCTCCTTCTGTTTTCAAACCAGATCCCTGAAACTTCACAGAAGTATTGCACCTATGTTTTTATTTTGTAATGCCTACAATAGATTGGGGCATTATGTTTTCTGATCTGTGTGTATTTTCATCCATTCATTGGTCTGTTTTTTTTGTCTGTTGCCTCCATGTATGGTTACAAGTTTTTTGTCTGTCTCCCCCATGTATGGTTACAAGTTTTTTGTCTGTCTCCCCCATGTATGGTTAAAGGGTTTTTGTCTGTCTCCTCCATGTATGGTTACAAGTTTTTTGTCTGTTGCCTCCATGTATGGTTACAAGTTTTTTGTCTGTTGCCTCCATGTATGGTTACAAGTTTTTTGTCTGTCTCCCCATGTATGGTTACAAGTTTTTTGTCTGTCTCCCCTATGTATGGTTAAAAGGTATTTGTCTGTCTCCTCCATGTATGGTTACAAGTTTTTTTCTGTTGCGTCCATGTATGGTTACAAGTTTTTTGTCTGTTGCCTCCATGTATGGTTACAAGTTTTTTGTCGGTCTCCTCCATGTATGGTTACAAGTTTTTTGTCTGTCTCCCCCATGTATGGTTAAAAGGTTTTTGTCTGTCTCCTCCATGTATGGTTACAAGGTTTTTGTCTGTAGCCCCCATGTATGGTTACAAGTTTTTTGTCTGTTGCCTCCATGTATGGTTACAAGTTTTTTGTCTGTTGCCTCCATGTATGGTAACAAGTTTTTTGTCTGTCTCCCCCATGTATGGTTAAAGGGTTTTTGTCTGTCTCCTCCATGTATGGTTACAAGTTTTTTGTCTGTTGCCTCCATGTATGGTTACAAGTTTTTTGTCTGTCTCCCCCATGTATGGTTAAAGGGTTTTTGTCTGTCTCCTCCATGTATGGTTACAAGTTTTTTGTCTGTCGCCCCCATGTATGGTTACAAGTTTTTTGTCTGTTGCGTCCATGTATGGTTACAAGTTTTTTGTCTTTTGCCTCCATGTATGGTTACAAGTTTTTTGTCTGTTGCCTCCATGTATGGTTACAAGTTTTTTGTCTGTTGCCTCCATGTATGGTTACAAGTTTTTTGTCTGTCTCCCCATATATGGTTACAAGTTTTTTGTCTGTCTCCCCCATGTATGGTTAAAAGGTATTTGTCTGTCTCCTCCATGTATGGTTACAAGTTTTTTGTCTGTCTCCCCCATGTATGGTTGAAAGGTTTTTGTCTGTCTCCCCCATGTATGGTTAAAAGGTTTTTGTCTGTTGCCTCCATGTATGGTTACAAGTTTTTTGTCTGTCTCCCCCATGTATGGTTACAAGTTTTTTGTCTGTCTCCCCCATGTATGGTTACAAGTTTTTTGTCTGTTGCCTCCATGTATGGTTACAAGTTTTTTGTCTGTTGCCTCCATGTATGGTAACAAGTTTTTTGTCTGTCTCCCCCATGTATGGTTACAAGTTTTTTGTCTGTTGCCTCCATGTATGGTTACAAGTTTTTTGTCAAGGTAGTTTACCTTGAAGCCGTGGTCACATCACTTTGAAACAGTACACATGTTTTTTATGATGTGAACTTCTTAGAATTAATGCCAAATAGGGTTTTGATTCAGATTTGGCTGTTCACTCTTAACAAAGAAATATGATAGGGGCATCATGTCCTATGTTTCACTTGCATGTGAATTAAAATTTAAAATGTCAGAAAAAATGCAAATTTATCACCAGTTTTTGCATCAACTATTTGGTGCAGAGCAGTTAAATATAATAATTCAATTTTTTTATCAGGTTCATGTTAACTTTATGATGTTCATATAATAAAAGTAGAAATTACAATAGATAAAATAAAATTGAATTGCAGAATTTTAACTTGTCAGATATTTTCAACATTTTTCATCAAAACTATAAAATTCAGATTTAGAGGGCATTTGTTCATTCAGTACTTTAACATTTACATTCCTCCTTGAAAAATATCAGTTTCAGAGTAGTTTATATAAGGACCCTGTTAAACAATATTAGAGTAAAGTTGTAAGATTGTAACCAGTAATAATATTTGGATACATATTGTCATAAACCTAGTATATCATTGATTTAAATGATCATCAACTGGTTGTGGAACTCACTTCAGTTTTTAAGATGGTTGAAATCTTTATTGAAACTTATAAGTTTCAATACTTATCTTTTGGTGGAAAATTTGATTAAATTGATGTTTGAATATTCTTTTTCTGCAAAGGTTATGCTTAGATCCTCTAATTTGTCAAGCAATATGATTATAAAATAATTAACTGTCTTCTTTCTCCCAAATGTCTCATGAGTTCTACAAATTATCTTAGTTTTCCAATATGATACGCATAAAGTTGAATATCAAAATGTTTATTAGCGTTAATTCCGTGATGCTCACAATGCAGAAAAAGAGTGATTGTTTACTGAAACATTTGTTTAATAAGTCGTAGTTTGATGTTTTGATGTTCGGAGGCTGATAGCAATCGTTATTACATAATGGTATTTGTTTATAGCTGCAATCAAGGGAACTGAAATTATTGGCAAAATTTGACAGCAATCAAATTTTATATGATTGATCATATACTGCTTGGATAAAGAAAGAAATTTTATTGTCATATTTGTTTTATTCTAAGATGAAATCCACTTTTTATATTGTATTAGCCATATTTGTTTTCCATTGAAATGAACTGTTGTCATAAAGTATGAACATTTTATTGTTAAGTCGTGGACCATTTTTTATGACTTTTTGATTGGAAATTTTACTTTGATACCAATAAAGTATACTGGTAAATTTTGTGTTCATGATTGCATTGTGACATTTTGTCTTAGCATATAATGAAATAGTGCTAAATATTTTACCAAGGGGGAAACCAACAATTTAGGACTTGTTGATTTTTAGATTATTTGCTCTTCTGAAAACTTAATATTTAGGAAGGACAGCTTTTTTTTTCAATTTTTTTTTCTATCTATATTTCCAAATTAAGTTTCCGACTGATTTTCTTTTTTAATTATAATAAAACAGAATAGTATTACTTTGAAATTTCAGAAAAAGCTTAAATGCAATAAACAATTGTTTTAAGTATCTTATGTCTCTTTATATGCAGCTCCTGTTTTTAGTTTTCCCAGAATTATAGTAATATGCTATATATTGAAACATAGGTTTAAGGTTATACAGGATGTAGAAATGACTTTGAATATGTCTTGATTCATTGAGTTGGAAAATTGGCTAAAGTTTGATATATTTGCATACATAGTATTTGAAAATAACTTCAAGGTGAATTCATCATCAGCATTCCCACTCATAGCCTACAATACAACTTTCAAAGTGTTGTCTACTTTGTAAATATCACTGGACATTAAGCGGCTGTTTTTAATCTGATTTCTTCTATGCAGTTTTCATTACCCGATTTACAAGATTTCATTTTATCTTTCAGCTTCATAAAATTACTCTCACAAAACACTCAATTGATTTGATAATTGTGATGATATGATCTTTATTCCTCTACCCTTTCTTGCAGCATTTGTAATAATAGAAACAGGATTTTAGAACTTCTCATCATTTTTAAGTGCTTGCTGAATTACAAATTAATGGAATAAAAGTATTATATTTTCCAGATGTTGAGGAGTCAAACTTATGATTTGATTCCAAACAAATTATGACTTTTATAGCAAAATAACAATGTATGTGTCTGATCCCCTGGTAGAACAGTTATTTTAGACTCCTATCAACAGTTTTTGATTCTTGTATGGTTTATGAATTAAAAGCTTTTTTATCTTATCTAAATGGTACACTTAATTGATTCATAAGTCATTTGCATCTTTTTGACCTGCGGAAATTAAAGGAAAATGCTTCCTGCTTAGTGTTGTCTCCCCTTGCTTAAGATCACAAGCTAATGGATAAAGCAGAAGGATTGCTTCAAATCAGTTAGTTAAGCAATTAATTCAAGACGTTTGGTATCCAATTTGTGGTCTGTATGCTAATAGAAAAAAATCATCCCTTAGTGTAAAGCGAGGACAAAATAACTAAAGAAAGATAATTAATATATGATATATTAGATTTGCAGATGTTTGAATTAATTAGATATGTTTAATTAGTTTTATCATTTGAAGTAAAACTGTTCTGTTTACATACACTTGTGGTTTGAATGTACTAAGTCTGGAGGGAAGATTGTATGCCAGATTGTATTGTTGTTTGTTTGTTGGTGTTTAACACGACTTTCAGATACGGTGACTATATCATGAAATTCAGTTTTTATTGGTAGAGGAAGACATGATACTCTAGGAGAACCACAAACCTTGGGCAGGAAAATTGGCTATCTTTATCAATTAAAAGATCAGAGTTGAACACACCTTGCCATTGTCATGAAATAGAAGTTCCTTCATAATATAAGTTCCAAGTGGAAGAAATATTCTGTAATATTATTTCCACTGAAACAAGTACAGTATTTGTTCCTTACGGAATAAAGGGGAACAGATATTATGAAATTGTTTATAACAAAGTTTCCAGGGGAACTTCTGTTAGGAGGAACAAATATACGTTGACACCACAAGCGGGGTTAGAACTAGAAACCATATCATTGAATGGGCTCAACAATTTCCAGTGTGAAATTTAACTATAATCCTTCCGTCTTCTTTTATAATACACTCATTTGTTTTTTCTGCAAAGAGATATAGTGAAAAGAAAAAGCATATAAATAAATTTTAATGTAGTCAAAGTGACACAGTAGAATATTCAAAAAATTCTAGATATTTATTCAAACTCTATTGTGTATGTTATTTCCTTTTATTATTTTCTTTTGTGAGTTATATCCTTAGTTTAACAAGATGGTAAAACACATGTATTGAGTTTCCTTGTCTGTTGTAGTACCTCCAGTAATTACGAGACCACCGCAGGATAAGGAAGTGGAAGAAGACGGCAATGTGGATTTACAATGTCAGGTGGAAGCAGATACTGCTTATCCTATTACGAGAGTCATATGGATGAAAAATGGTCTTCTCATTAGTTCTGTAAGATATTTTTTTAACTCTCAGTTTATGAACTTGGAATGTACTTTTAAAGAAATAAGCAGATCTATTATATATAAAGGTCATAAAACATACAGAAAGGTAGGATTTTCTAAGCCAATACTGATTACTAGTCTGGAAATTTAAAGAAGTTGGAAAATGAAGTAAAAAAAGGAGAACGTAATAGACATTTACAGAAAAAAAAGTAAGACAATACAATCAAAATGATAAAACTTCTATTTTTGAATTCGTCTTAAATTTCCTTGAAGATCTTCAACAATAAGCCAGGGACCACTGATCTCCATACTAATAATGTTGTATGTGTATGAACATGTAAGCTGTACTTTGCTAAAATTTTAAAGGTCCAGTCCAAAATGGCATTTTGTATGAAACCGTGAGTGATCTTTTAACACAGGTTAAGAGGGCAGTTAATTATTCAAAATAGTCATAGGAATTGAAAGCCAGGGGGAAATATGTAAACATCTTCATTTTTAAAGAACCATTAAGTGACACAAGAATACACAAAAATTATAAAGTCTTTTTTTTAGGCTAGGTTGGCAGATCATGGTATTAGCAAATTAAATTTCTTCTCTACCAAATGCAGTGTCATAAACAGCAAGGATTATAATCTAAATGATTTGTTTAATTTTTTTCATATACATTCTATCTTATCTTATGCAGGGGTCATCAAGACATCACATGGATCTTGAACGTGGCATTCTAAGGATACCTATTGTATCAATTGATGATGCTGGTACCTATGCTTGTGTAGCCAACACAACTGGTCAAGATCTTGTTATATCGAGTGAAGCATATCTGAGAGTAACTAGTAAGTATCGAACCTATGCTTGTGTAGCCAATACAACTGGTCAAGGTCTTGTTATATCTAGTGAAGCGTATCTAAGAGTTACTAGTAAGTATTGAGACAACACAGACAGTTGAACCTATGCTTGTGTAGCCAATACAACTGGTCAAGGTCTTGTTATATCCAGTGAAGCGTATCTAAGAGTTACTAGTAAGTATTGAGACAACACAGACAGTTGAACCTATACTTGTGTAGCCAATACAACTGGTCAAGATCTTTTTATATCCAGTGAAGCATATCTAAGAGTTACTAGTAAGTATTGAGACAACACAGAGAGTTGAACCTATACTTGTGTAGCCAATACAACTGGTCAAGATCTTTTTATATCCAGTGAAGCATATCTAAGAGTTACTAGTAAGTATTGAGACAACACAGAGAGTTGAACCTATACTTGTGTAGCCAATACAACTGGTCAAGATCTTGTTATATCCAGTGAAGCATATCTAAGAGTTACTAGTAAGTATTCAGAGAGTTGAACCTATACTTGTGTAGCTAAGACAACTGGTCAAGGTCTTGTTATATCCAGTGAAGCGTATCTAAGAGTTACTAGTAAGTATTGAGACAACACAGACAGTTGAACCTATGCTTGTGTAGCCAATACAACTGGTCAAGGTCTTGTTATATCCAGTGAAGCGTATCTAAGAGTTACTAGTAAGTATTGAGACAACACAGACAGTTGAACCTATACTTGTGTAGCCAATACAACTGGTCAAGATCTTGTTATATCCAGTGAAGCATATCTAAGAGTTACTAGTAAGTATTCAGAGAGTTGAACCTATACTTGTGTAGCTAAGACAACTGGACAGCACAGACAGTTTCGCTGTATTGTGAAGTCAATAAGGACCCACTGTTTCTGTATCAAGATTTAATTCATATAAGATATTGACCCCAGCAATTGTTAGGTTTATAAGAAGTGATAATATGAAAAGGGTTAGCTATTAATGATAAGAGTTCATTTCTTTAGCAATCAGTTGGCAATGAATTTGCAATAAAATTTGAGAGATGCTTGACATACAAAAATATATATATAGTGACAGGTAAAAGATGAAAGAGAAAAATTCTCTGTTCTAAGAACATAGAATAATAAAATCTGATTTACTCAAGAACTCCATGACTTTTGGTGTACTGTTAATTACTTGAAGACATAAAACTTAAAACACATTTAAGTACCAAAATTGATTACAGCAAGTTGGTTACATCATGGCAGATTTGTAATTAACTCCAATGACACACTTGACAAGGTGAAATTAATTTCATCAATGGCAATAGATATATTTCATATTATGGTGACATTTTATATGCTGTACTGTATAGGTTAATTGCTGCAGAAATTGTGCATTAATATCCAAGGTAAACTTCAAATCACTTTTATGTGAATCTCCTGGAGCGGAAATTCAGATTTAATTCTCCAACATTATATGACTGATTACAAACTAATTGTAACCACGTGGCTGAATCAGGATGTTTAATTTCAACGCCAGTAAAGATTGAAATTGAAGAAATAACTTTGTAAAAAAGTGGGAGTTTGTTTTCACTTGGCACCATGTTAATTTCAGAGTAATTTAAAAACAGATAATTGAATTGCATGCTAACTTACATTCTGTTTTGATCTCTGATATAGCACAAATTATTGTGTTATAACTGCATGGTATTTCTTATGCAATAATTTGTCTAACTGAGCTATGATCATCATGTTGGATCATCATTAAACATTAGGAAGAAATAAAGTCAGTAGGGACAAAATATGTCTGTGGTGGATATTTGCACTCAAGCTGTCATATTTATAATTGAGAAAAATATATTGTAAATATTACGTAAAAAATGTTAGGATTTAAGTCATGTACAGCTCTTAAAATTCATAAACAATGTTACATATCAATATAAATATCTTGTTGCTAGTCTTATCCATACACAACTTTTCTCAAGCTTGTGAGCAAACTTGTATTTCAACTCTGATGTACCAATATTCTACAAATCTCTAGTAGGGTTTTCCAAAAGAGTCATACTTTTCAAACTTGTTTTTTTTTAAAATATAAATGTCAAGATAGAAACTCACTGAAGTGAGCCATGCCAAATATTTCATATTATTAAGAAAACTATAGAGGTTTAAAAGACCTTTTTGTCTTTTTTTTCTTTTTTCAAAACACTTTCTGTGACAGGAGGAGTAATTACTAATGGTAAACTAGTACCAGGCATCAATCTATACTAATGGTAAACTAGTACCAGGCATCAATCTATACTAATGGTAAACTAGTACCAGGCATCAATCTATACTTATGGTAAACTAGTACCAGGCATCAATCTAAACTAATGGTAAACTAGTACCAGGCATCAATCTATACTAATGGTAAACTAGTACCAGACATCAATCCATACTAATGGTAAACTAGTACCAGGCATCAATCCATACAAATGGTAAACTAGTAACAGGCATCAATCTATACTAATGGTAAACTAGTACCAGGCATCAATCAATACTAATGGTAAACTAGTACCAGGCATCAATCTATACTAATGGTAAACTAGTACCAGGCATCAATCTATACTAATGGTAAACTAGTACCAGGCATCAATCTATACTAATGGTAAACTAGTACCAGGCATTAATCTATACTAATGGTAAAATAGTACCTGGCATCATTCTATACTAATGGTAAACTAGTACCAGGGATCAATCTTTACTAATGGTAAACTAGTACCAGGCATCAATCTATACTAATGGTAAACTAGTACCAGGCGCCAATCTATACTAATGGTAAACTAGTACCAGGCGCCAATCTATACTAATGGTAAACTAGTACCAGACATCAATTTATACTAATGGTAAACTAGTACCAGGCATCAATCTATACTAATGGTAAACTAGTACCAGGCATCAATCTATACTAATGGTAAACTAGTACCAGGCATCAATCTATACTAATGGTAAACTAGTACCAGGCGCCAATCTATACTAATGGTAAACTAGTACCAGGCATCAATCTATACTAATGGTAAACTAGTACCAGACATCAATTTATACTAATGGTAAACTAGTACCAGGCATTAATCTATACTAATGGTAAACTAGTACCAGGCATCAATCTATACTAATGGTAAACTAGTACCAGACATCAATTTATCCTAATGGTAAACTAGTACCAGGCATCAATCTAATCTAATGGTAAACTAGTACCAGGCATCAATCTATACTAATGGTAAACTAGTACCAGGCATCATTCTATTCTAATGATAACCCCTGCATAATGTCTGAAAAACATGGATGTGAGCAATCAATAATTAAATATAAAACTGAGAAGTCTTCCAAAAATTCCATCGTACTTTGCCTGATAAAAGAGTTTAAAAACTACAAACTAGTAATCATATTGCATATTTTGACCTTTTTAATAAACCTGTCTAAGAAAAAGTTGTTGAAATGTGCAATAAAAACAGATGGATACTCCAGTCTTGAGGTATAAATTAAAAAGTAAGAAATTCTAATTCTGAATGACATTACTATTGGGGTTTGAAAATTGAAAAAAGATGGGATTGTAAAAACCATAAAATTTAATGACAAATTAAACTAGTAAAATATGTTTGAATTGAATTCTTTACCATTAGTTGCAACATTCATATTGTAATGCATTTTTTTTTCCAGAAAAATTAAAATTCCATCCTGTTCCACAAGACTCAAACATTGAACTCCACAAAAATGCATCTTTACCATGTAAAGCTGAAGGTGATGGTCAGGTCAAGGTTCGCTGGTTTAAAGATAGAAGTATTAACATTGCTGAACACATTACAAACATTGATGGCACTTTGACCTTCCTGGATGTGCAGAGGTCAGATGCAGGCAGATATACATGTATGGCTTACACAGATAAACAGGGATCAATAAATTCTACCATTAATATAGATGTTGTTGGTAAGTGTCAAATTTGTTTCTATTGTTATTTTGAAATGTATATGGAAGAAAACAGGAAGATACGTCTATATTTTATTTAGATCTAGATAACATCAGATCTAACTGATTTAACATATATCCATTAATATATTATAATATAAACAGTCCCAGTTATATTATGAAAAATAAAATTTAGCTTTAATTTTATCTTAATAATGAAGTAGCCGTTCATTTCATGAATCCTATTGGTAATTCGTCCACCATGATCAGGATTTTTACGATGCTGACATACTGACAGAGGAATACAATTCAAAAATTTCAAACAAGTTCAAAATTTCTGGTTTACAATGTCCCCATTGATCCTGATTGTTTCTGTTGGGAAAAGTTCAAAATCGGGGACCAGCAAAACATTTCTGGTGGAATTTATAAAAATCAGGATGTTGGCTTGTTTTACAAACCTGATATTGGGATCAGGTTGAGGCATGATAATTCAGATAATATCACCAAAATGAGGATAGTTGGCAGATCTGCATGATACATTTGCATTCAGGAATACTGGCATTAGGTAACAATAGTATATTACCTTTAAATCTAAACTTACAAGATAGCAAGACTTAATGGCCAAATGACCTAAACCTTTATACCTATGATAAGAGCACTTTCTGTATTAAAAACTAGCAGAAGAGTCTAATTCATGTCATACAGACAACATTCACTATTGGGGTTTGGAAATTAAAAAAAGATGGGATTGCCAAAACCATAAAATTTAACAACAAACTAAACTATTGCTCAGTTTTAATTTAGAAAATTAATAACATGCATGAAATGTTAACATTCTGTTAATTGGATAGAACAGAAAATTCTGGAAGCAATCTAATGCATCAAAATAGTTTGTCTAGTTCTGAATTTGAGCCTACTACCAATACTAAACACTGTATGAAGTTATCCTCTCCAATTGATATGCTCAATATAACATATCATCTTAGTTTTACATATTACTTTGACATCTTGAAATACTTGGAAAAAGAATGATTGAGTGGTATTGTCTGCTTACCAAATTGGATATACATGGACTTGATCAAGAAAGTCAGATTACTTTTCTTAACAGATAATATAGATACTTGTTATTTAGTTTATCTGAGAAGTGCAGTGTAATTCAAGAGAATCTTGTCTTAGTAGCATTCAATGGCAGCTGTTATCAGATTTAGAAATTTTCAAATAAGAAAATAAAAACTTTGATTATTTAATAGTTTGGCATTTCACATTGTTAAAAGGTCTTCATGTGATTTAAATTTGTCTACACTAACCCTTGAACCACACTCCTACAATTTGAAATAAGACTAATCTCTTTGTCTGCTCTGACTCCTGACCCACAGTCAAATATAAGGCCAATCATGTGGTCACTGACCCTTGAACTAGTTGTTAATATAAGACAAATCTTCAAGATAGGAAGTATCATAAGTACTTAAACTCAATATCATCCAGCATTAAACTTCTTTTGTGTTTCTCATTTATGTAAGTATAACACTAATTATGCAAATTTTCTTGAGTACAAATGTATTACTTAGTACACTTATAAAGCCCTCTGCTTATGTCATTGTTATATGTTCACTTCTCAGATCAGTGTTATTGTCACTTTCTTGAAAATATATCAGATATTTAGGGTATAATTATATGATCCTCTAAGACGGTTAACATGTTTGTTAGTCATGCCATAGATGTATAAACCCATAGATGAAGCTCTACATCTATGGTCATGCTAATAGAACAATAGTTGCAATTAGCTTTTTTGTCATTTCAGACCATTGATTGGTCTAGGAGTTGTGACATGGAATGTTAAGCGTACAGTTAGCATGATACTCCCCCAACACAAAGGACATAAGATTTAACATCATGGTCATATGTGGCTGTGCATTTATAAACCCCTAAAGCTAAAAATAACCCCTTTTTGTATTGGTCTTACTGTCAGATGGCAGAAGTCTAGGAAACTGCATTGAGGAGCAAAAGGACCTTCAGGATTGGTTTTTATTTTTGCGGGAATTAGAGATTTACACTTATTGGGACTGGAATTAATGATTAAATTTTGGGGATCTGAAATAGAATGCTTTATTTTCTCTGGAATTTTGGATTCAAAGTTTAATTTTCTGGGAATTGTGGATGACCCCATCTGCATTGTATATTCATGACACCAGTTATCATGGGTACAAGTTCATAATCATACAACTGTGTCTTTAATGCACTATGTTACAAAGAATGCTAGAAATGGATAAAAGATGTTGTAAAAAAAAGATGAACATTTGTTTAATACATTAGTGGTCAAGATTTTACTTATGGAAAAAATACTTTTTCATGTATAAAAATTATTTTATGTTTTGATTAATTGATTTCAAGATATTATTATTCATGTGTTTCCTTCATTTACAGTGAGACCAAAATTCAGAGTTGTTCCAATAAATACAACAGTGTTAGAGGGACAATCAGCCATGATACATTGTGTAGCTATTGGAGAACCCAAACCAATGATTTTTTGGGACAAAAACTTTTATCAGAATAGTTTTGATCCAAGTAGAATACAGGTATGTATTCCTTAATCTAATCACACAAAGTATTTTCTCTTGTACATTATAGATATGCATACAGTAAATGCCTCTTCTTTTGAATTATGAAATATTATCTGATTGGCTGTTTGGAGTTTGACTGTAGTTGTCAAAATAAGGGGGATGACATATAATCATGCATTCATGGTACAGCTGTTTATAATGATTTGAGCTGTAGACTTGTAAAAGGAGTAGGTATGTTAAGGACCCTACCTGGCCCCTTAAAATTAACCTGTTTGTATTGGATTTGGTGGAAAGTTTAGATGTATGCTAAGTTTGATAAATAAAAAAGAATGCTGATAGGTAAGCTTTCTGAAAAGAGACCTGGTTTCTTTCTGTTACTTGTTTTAGCTAAGATGCATTGAGAAAATAGCCATTAAATGTTAATTTTGTATTTTAACTAGATAAAGGGGCCATTTTCATGCTTTTTCAAACCTACTTCTTTGGACTTTATGTTTTATTTTACTTTTCAACCCTTATTATTCGTTTCCATCAAGAGATAATTGAAAAATTCTAGCTCAACTATTTTCATTATTAACCAGTTTGAAATTCTCGTGCCATAGTATTGTGAATCATGTAACAAGAGAATTAGACAATACAAGTTTTGAATAAAGGATGTTTAATACTATTCTCAATTAGAACTATATTTAACTATAACTAATCATTACACAACATTCAGATTAAAAGAGCAAATGCAGAAATAGGTTTTCTCCCATAAAACACTGGTTGGTCTATTTTCATTATCATTTCAGTAATTTGATGATATACAAAATCATCATAATACCAAGTGAAAGTAATAAAAGAAAGATTCCAAAGTGTAAAGTTTACACTAATAAATAGATTATATGTCAAACAAAATGATGTATGCACAATCCACTCTGTGATTTATGTTAAATAGTTATCTATTTTCAATACAGATTTGAAGTAGGTACTTTGCATTTTAAACAGTAATTATTCATAATGCCTCACTTTTTGAACAGGTTTACATGGTAAGATTCCGTAGGTTTGGAAGAGAGGTTTCTTTTATAAATAGAATTATGATATAATGCAAAATCTTTGGAACTTATGGCAACTAAAAAGAGTTTTTTTTTTGCTTCACTTTTTCACAGATTTTCATATTTTTGATTATAGTAAAATCCAAGTGACCCTTTGCAATGAATCTGTTAAAAGAAAAAGTAATTGAAGAAAAATTGATTTTTATATTTTAAAGAGTGAAACCACAAAACAATCAAATAAAAGTTACATTAATTTTAAATGTTAGTTTCAACTGCCTAAACACTCTAAAGTTACTAAAATTGTAGTATAGAATGATGAATAAAAAGCAGAAGGGCTGATAGTTAGGGTACACATTTCACCATGTATAATATACAAATTCAACCATCCATATTTAATACTTACAAGGCTACAAATATTTATATATATATGTGTATATCTATAAGACTATAAGAGATTTGTTTATGTTGCAGAAATTGAGCAATGGAACGTTACATTTTACCAAAGTTTATATGGAAGATAAAGGGAGATATGGTTGTACGGCTAATAATACTGCAGGGAATGTACGCATGGAGGCAAATTTAAATGTAGCAAGTAAGTTATCATATTTTACAGAGTTATCTCCCTTGTATACATCCAGGCTACCTTTTATCTCAGTTGGTGAATTAATACATGAATTCTCATGAAGTAGAGGATTTGACAATTTGCTGAATAGAAAAAAACTAGGTGAAAACAAAGAGTACAACAATTTTATTTAATCCCCAGAGAATTTTTTATATTTCAACAAATTATGTAGTTCAGCATAGAACTGAGAATTATTTCTGTCTATTGTTGTCATTGGTCGAAGTACCCTGTTTTTTTGGGGGGGCTGGTTGGAATAAAAGAGGAATTTTTATAAAAGACTTCAATACAGTACATTATTCCTGCAAAGTTCAGTTTATAGTTGCCTGGTTTAGTTTTCCCATAAGGCTTAATGGGAACCTAGCATGTGGCATTATTGCTGCCATGTATTGGACTCAATCAATCATTGAGCAACAATAAAAATCTAAGGCTTTGTAGAGGGTCCCATATTTATATCTTCAATTTAGAAAGATTAAGACTATGTTTCAAACATATAAATTCACTTCCTATGTGAATAACTTGTTGAGCAAGTGTTTTTGCTCTATATTATTTAATTAAATGTGTTAGAAAACCTGAGATTCAAAACAGAAATGAATATTCAGTGTGAACTGAGTCCAAAATGTACCCATCACCCATAAGAATTTTCTCTAGAACGAAAGAGTATTATTAAGCAAAACATTTCTGTATTTTTTCATAAGTATTATTAATTAAAAGGAATTATAATGAATACAAAGATAATGTCGCACCAGTTTTATTAACTTTTTTCTGTTTGATAAGATTTCAAGAGTGTGTTGTATAAAGAGTGGAAAAATCGCTGAAATGTCAACAGAGACAAACTGACCAAAATAATTTATCCAAGACTTTCAAAGCATTTTTAACACTTCAGAAATAATTAAAGCTGCTAATAGTGAAAAATATGTTACAAAACAATATTAATGAGTTTCTTAATGGTTGTAATAGCACTTTTCATCAGAAAAGAAATGTGAAACTCGTAAAGTCTCTAATGTAATGAAGGATCCAAATTCTTTTTTTTTTTTAAATCTTGTGATGTTTACAAGCAGCTTTAAGGTCAGTTGTTATTTTTTGTACAATGCTCAACTATCACAGTGATAAGAATTTACAGTACATAAAAGATGTAAAATTAATGATCATTTGTAGTGTATTTAAATACTGATAAGAAATCATGTCAAAATATGGGTAGGTTTTCCTGAAACATGTTACTTAAATAATTGTAAAATCTGACAATTTATATTTGACTTTTAAGTCCAGAAACAAATCTGTAGAATAATAAATACCTTTAGTAATACAGCTCATAAAGATAATCATGGATAAATTATAGTCTAACAGCACATTTTGACAAGCTTGGATTTTTCTCTCTGCAGGATAAAAAATAAAAGTGACAAAGTTACAAATTATATCATCAAGAAAAATTTATGTCACTTTGTTTACACTCAATGTTTCATAAGAAAGGATTACTGAAAAGAAACGGCTGTGTTGGCGAATTTATGGTGACAAGTTTGATGTTGAAATGCTGATTGTGCACAGCAACTATCTAACTGTTTGACACTGGTTGAAAACAACTAGCTTTTGAAAACATTCTTAATTGACAAGAGTTGAATAGAGTTTTGTACCCTGAAATCAATTTATATGGCATAAATCAAATTAATGTTTTCTCCTGACCAGAATATGTAATCTAGGGTATAAATATGGTATTAAAACTTTAAAGCTGCTCAATTTATTGTCTAAATCTATCAGGATTTCATCAGACAGAAATCATTACTAAATTAGGTTTTTCTAATTCTATAACATTGTTTATTGCACATCCATGCAATTTTGTAGCTTCGTATGACGTTTGGTACGGAAATAAAAATGGAGGATCCAGTGTTATATCAGGATATTGTTGGACGATTTTTGTTGTGTTATGTCAAATATTATGGACCAGTTTGTTTATACGAGATCCAACGTGACACATTCTTTATCATTCCAAGGATAAGTTGATGCATATTGTGATGCATGGCCATATCTGACTGTATTATTTATTGGACGCTATTTTGGAAATAAAGATTTTATATTTGATAGAAAATATTTGTCTTTGTGTTTTGCTTCTACTAATGCAAACCCATCATATATGCATTGTAAGGCAAATAAACAAGAATTGTCATATCAATCTTTGCCAAAAAAAATTGTATATTCATGGTTTCATTAGTTTACTGTTAACAATTATTGGAAATTTTTTATAAGGATTTTTCATTATGTTAGTGAAAATCATTAATTTATGTATTGATATAATAATGTTTTAATTTTTCACCTTGAAAAATTATTGTTAAACATTTTGCTTCATTTGTTTTCTGTAAAAGTCTACGTTTTATGAGTTTCTGCTTGCAAGAATTTATGCTTTGCATATTTGATGGTTTTGCATGTTATTGACGGATGAAAAAAATAGGATGGCTACTAATTAATAAATGTTTAAAATTAGCACTGACTTGAAAAAAAAAATTCATTAAGCAAAAATATTCTTTGATTTCAAATCTCAGAAACTTTCACTCAAAGATGATCTTAACGGAGTGGGAGAAGGACTTTCTTTTTTTATTTCATTTAAAAGATCAAGAACAAATATATCAAAGAAGGTGATATGGTAATAGCCATTTGCATATGTAGTCAAATTCTACAATCATATTGACAGTTGTAGATAAATGAAATGGATGATATAGTCTGGTCATTTTAGTTCAGAAAAGTCATTTTTTTGTCGTCATGTGGAAAATGTGACATAATTGACATAAATAATCTTAAAAAGCCATTCATTTAGGTATATTTGTACATGAGATCAGACATGAACCAAAAACATATTTACTTACATCATCATCTTCATAAACTTTTTGTCACAAAATGTCTTTTAAGGCTGTTACTCATATCTAAATATTAATGGGAAGATTTCAAAATAAGGCAATGTTTGTCTTGCCTTGAGACTGAATCATGATGTTTCAGGGTTGACATCAATAAATGCAAGACATTTGAAACCTGAACCAATCATGCTCGAAAAAATTCTAGTATATTTTACGGTAACTGATATCTGAAGATGTATCTTTGAACATTTTAAGGATGATAAGTTTGAAATTACTAGACTAAAATTTATACCTCCATTTACTATTGCTATTCTAAAATGTTTTTCCTGGATAGATGATGTTTAGAATATTATTATTTATAAGATGAAATTGTTATTTTTTGTAACAAAATATACATGCAACTGTCGGGAAGATTATATGAGAATGATGTTTTTATAAGGAAATACAATTTAGCAGTTACCTCAGTCAACAGACTAATTATTAACCAATTACACCCATCATTAATGACATAATGAGAAGAGGTTGAGTGGTAAAATAATTTTCATTTAGGTGTAGAGTAAGTCAAAAGCTTGTAAGTTTTGTAGCAATTACTTAATAATTATGATTAATCAAGTCTTCAAAAGATAGAGACTTTGTTTTTGTGAATTCTTGTTGCATTTCTGGGCAAGGTTAACGAAATATTTGTCTGGATCATTTCTTCACATGGTATGTATTTTGCCATATCTGACTGGTAACTCGTTTTTGAAATGGTAAAATAATGTATGTAATAGTGTTTCCATCAGTTTCCTTGTTCTGATTCGTATTAAAGAGTTTTAGAGTAAACACATTTTATATACATACATGTAAAGCATTAATCCTTCTATACAATGATTTGGACATTAGTTGTGCATAATAGCCAACTATACATGACTTTCCTTATTTTGGTAGAAGATTAGCTATTTGTTGAATTTCTTCATTTGGAAAATATACCATCTAATTTATCATGAAATCATGTTTTAATATAGTGGAAATAAGCCTTAATTCCCTTTTATGAGCTAGCTCTAATCCTTGTTTTAAGGATAAATTTAGCATCTGTGAGAGTACTTTCAATATCTTTGTACTTAATGCCTTCATTTTCTATGTTTGTTATTGCAGGTGCTTCTGAGTTTGGAAAGGAGGGGGTTGAAGAGGAAGAAGGAATAGATATGGTGAAGACCATTATAATTGCTGTGTGTAGTGCAGGGGCTTACTTTGCACTTGTCATAGCACTTACAGCATACTTTAGCTACAGATTGTTTATGAGGAGGAAAAGATTTGCTAAATCTATGGGTATACACAATTTTCTTTGCATTTCTTTGAAAAGTTTTGTCATTTATTTAAGTGCTTTCAGTGTAGTAAGAAAATTTTGGCTTCCTTAGATTACAGAAGCAGAAATGGTTAAATAATACTAAAATCTGTCTTTTAGATTTATTGTTATTTTTATGCCTCTGCCTCATCGGAGGGGGCATTAAGTGTTACTCTTGTCTGTCCATACGTCCGTCCCAAAAATTAGTTTCCATTCACGAACTTTAGTTTGCCTCAGCCAAATGTTATGAAACTTATACACAATGCTTATTACCATAAAACACAGATCAAGTTGGAATTTGGGTGGCGTCACTTTTACCGTTCTTGAGTAATACCCCATTACAAAGTTATATGCAAGAGGGGGCATCATCTGTGTCCCATGGACACATTCTCCATTATTTATTTTCTCTTGTCTTGAATATACATGCAATATTTGCCACTGGAAATTAAGCAAGCAACAAAAAACAATAAATGTAGCTGCATGCTAAATATATACTTGTCATTAAAGAACACCATCTGAAGTAAAATGCACATACAATTAGAAATCTGCAGTCAAACAGTTTAATTTATTATCAAACTATTGTTGTATGAATATCACACTATATAATGTTTAGTTTAATCGAATTGCAGCAAATAGCAGTTTAAATAGTGAGCATCATAAGTAATAATTAATGTAAATTTTTATAGTGTTTAAAGTGTAGTAATTAATTCTGATCTATTTATGTTTATAGTTAAATCAGAGAATGGTGACACCAACAGAGAACAGCATGAACTGTTAGTAAAAGATCGTGACAGTGAATCCCGTGGACAGTTACGTAGTGACAGTGACAACAGATCACATGTGTCAGGAATGAGTTCACATCCCTCTCATTCATCACAATCACAATCAACAACATCACAGTCACAATCACAAAGAAGTCGAAGAGGAAGCTATGACAGACTTGTATTTCCTAGACATGATCTGGCAACTATTGGCATGCTTGGTATGTTACATTATACCAGCCCCCCCCCCCAAAAAAAAATGTAGCCCCTGGAATTTAGATCTAATTTCAAGATTTAAACATTTACACAGATCCTTCATAAAAACAAAAGTATACCACTTCAAATCTATAAGCATGAATAAAAGGAGATGTGGGTTATTCATCAATAAGACAGCTACCCAACAACATATATAACCAAAAGACATCATGAGAACAAAACCTTATAATGTTGTGCAATATACGAATTTCTAAATCATTCAACAGAATGGAGCAAAAAAAAAAAAATATGTTTTTAAATTTTTAGTTAGTACCTTAATTCTCATAAACCAATGTATAACAGCCATACAGAGAAAACAACAACAATACTGCAATATTATAGTATTCTTCATATCTATTAAAGTAAGCTTTCTTTGATAGTCTTTATTGTTTTTAGTCACAATTTTTAGAAACATATTATATACACCTGTATATTGTTAAGACGGTTTGTTGACTTCCAGTTGTTGTTTGGTTTCACATTGTTGGGATACTGTCTCATTGACATTTAACACACATCTCCTGTAATTAAACTGTTGTTAAACATTTTTGCTTTCTGATGAGTATATTCTAGCACAATATTACTAACTACATACTCTAAAAGATTTCCAACATATGCTTTGAAGATTTTTTAATTGAATTTGCTTGATTTTAATCCGGAAATTTACCAAAAGTAAAAAAATATCACAAAATGTAAAATGATAACAGTTTTTCTGCAGATATAAGGTTTCCAATAGAAGAATAATCTGTGAAACACTGAATTCCTTTCTTTTATAGGTAAAGGACTGTTTGGTGATGTATTCTTAGCAAAAGCCAGAGGCATTAAAGATTATGAACCAGAAACACTGGTTGTTGTTAAATCACTGCTTGTTAAAGATGAACATTTATACTATGAATTCAAACAAGAGTTAGACATGTACTCCAAGCTAGATCATCCATGTATAGCCAAGATATTAGGAGTGTGTAAAGAGATAGAACCACAGTTTGTTATCACAGAGTATTGTGATTGGGTAAGTAACAACATTGCTGGGAAAAATTGTTAAATTTGATGTATTTAATATTTCTGGAGGGTCTTATAGATTAGACCAAAATAATATGAATATATTTTTTTCATTTGGTACATTTAGTTTTTCATACGCTTCAGCCAACATTATACTATACATTGGAAATTTCTACTACATAAGAAATGAAAAAATACTATACAAGAAAAATCACATGGCACTCATCAGCTTGTTTTGTTAATAGATGTACAGAGAATAGATGACATACATTCTCAAAATAACTCAAACCAAGGAAGAAAAAGTTATCTAATCTAAGACATACGATCCCATGTGTAATAGCATGTCCTATATATTTTTGTTTACATATTTTATTGATTTAATTGATTTTGCATATTTTTTTTTATATTATAAAAATTAACTTTAAAAAAAAACCAAGATTAATGTTGCTCAGGGATATCAAATTTCTTTACTTGTGAAAATCACTGACAATATGAATGTATTATGACCTTCATGGGAATAAGGATTAACAAATTCTTGAAGAGAGAATATTTATTTATAATATTACATTGGAAAAAGCCATTTCAATAGTGACATAAATAATTATTATTGTTAATGTAAAAAAAAATCTGAACACTGGTTAACTTAAGCCATGGACATACAACCTTTGTACTAAATAAAGAATTTTTAAAAATTTGAAGCATTATCTATTATTATCAGTTTATTGATTGATCTAATGTCTGTGTCTTCTGTCAAAGTTTCCCAGACAAATATGGGGCACTTGTCATGCACCTAAATATCAGAAGATACTTCCTAATTGATCCCACATTTTCCTTTAAAAATATCGTAAAGGTTCAAATTTGAAAGAGTAAAATCCAAGACTGTAAACAATAAAGATGAGAATGGAAATGGGAAATGTGTCAAAGAGACAGCAACCCAACCAAAGAGCAGAAAACAGCCGAAGATCACCAATGGGTCTTCAACACAGCGAGAAAATGAAAGTGTGTACTAGTTCAGTGAAAATCAACATCGCACTAAACACCAAGACATATAAATGAAATAAAATTAAAAACATACAAGACTAACAAAGGCCAGAGGCTCCTGACTTGGGACAGGTGCAAAAATGTGGCGGGGTTAAACATTACTTGATTCCAGGACTAAAAAGTTAAAAGAATGATTTAATTTTCGTTTCATAACAGTAGAGAATATTTTATATTTTACAGGGTGATTTGAAACAGTTCTTATATGCAACGAGAGGTGGACTCAATGGACAGTTTCCTCGTGTACCACCTTTAACTGCTGTACAAAAGACAAACATGTGCCACCAGGTGGCATCTGGACTGGAACATTTATCGAATCATCGCTATATTCATAGAGACATAGCATCTAGAAATGTGCTGCTGACATCTCGCCTTGAACTAAAAATAACCAGTTTATCATTGTGTCGAGATGCATATGCAGGAGAATATTACCCCTATGCTCAGAATCTTATTCCTCTACGATGGATGCCTCCTGAAGCAGTTTTCGATGGAGAATTTTCAGTTAAAAGTGACATTTGGGCTTTTGGTATTTTTGTTTGGGAAGTCTTTCATCTTGGAGATCTGCCTTATACTTCACTTACAGATGATGAAGTGTTGAAACATCTAAAAATAGAAGATTTAAAATTGACAATGGTGGACCTTTGTCCACAGGAGATTATTGACCTAATTACAAAATGTACTGCCGTATGTCCAAAGGAAAGACCTTTATTTAGTGAAATCTGTTCATTCTTTGGGGAATACATTTTAAAACTACAATCAACTGCTCCTGTCTAACTGAAATCCATGTCTGTTTTAGAGAGAGTATTTATTTTGTGTATATATTTTTACATTATACATTTTCATATATATATATAACTGTTCTGCAGTGCAGTGCAGAATTCTACAAGTAATTGAAAATCTACAAATTTTTATTTATCATTGTTCAATGAATTAATCATTGTCTGAATGATATATGTTGGAAATATGAGGGAATTGAATGTAAAGTACTTGAGAAAATTGTGATTTTTATAAATAAGCTGTATGTTGATATAGTCCTCAAAATTTTATTTTCTGTGTATTTATATATGGCTACAAATACTTAAAAAGACACTTGTCTAATGAAATGGTTAATGTTTTGTAATAGGAATTGTAAAGTATGTAACTGTATTTGAAACACCCCATCGATGATATACACCTGATTGTTTGTTGATTTATACTTTTAACTTTCGTTATTCTTACACATTTACAGCTATTGACAAATTTTAAAAATTAAAGGCTGTTACATAAATTAAATTTTACCAAATAGTCCCTCTACAAAGAAGTGAGTGAGATGAAAGGAAATATTATTTGATGTAATACTTCAGGCTTTAGGTCCATTTTGTAAACATTGTAAAATATATGATATTGAGTTACTATTTATAGTGTTATTTCCTGAAAACTGGGCAATATTGTTCCAGGTAGAATATGATATAAAATGAATAATGGGAAAGATTATTCCAGGTAGAGTGTGATATTGCCTGAATAATAATGGGTTTTATTGTCCCAAGTTTCTCAGAATAATCATTTTATCAATTTTCAAGGAGTACAAGGTACCATTTTGTGTGCTTTGCTTGCATTATTTCTTGTTTATTATTTTGTTTGTTGTTTGTATAAACCAAAATCATAAGCAATATTTTCCAAAAAAGAATTCCCCATTATTCTTTAAATTGCCTGAAATTTTGTCTACATTTGTTGAATGTATTAGAAACACACTAAAGTTGACCAAAGCTGTTGTTAGAAAATAAAAAAAAAATGAAATAAATTTGATGCTATAAAGTACTGTATATATGTTTAGGAACCATGTTGTTATTGTTAAAGTGATACAGACTTTAACAGATTCTGAAAAAAACTGTTTATTTTTTAACGAGAATCAATAATTGTTTCTGCTTTGTTTTCCTTAAATATCGTTTATTTTTATTATTTTTTTAAAGATGACAGTTTTAGCAGTTTGACTGCAAATAAAAACTGGACATCCAAGCAGTTTAACTGCACTTAAAATGATTTTTACTAGCAGTGTGTTTGCTTATAAGTGACTCATGTGAAGATAAAGTAATAAACAGTCACTTTGATACTTATTATGTATAATTCTTAAAACTTATAGCTACAAAGTAGTGAATGCCTCATGAAAAAGATAGCAGTTAAACTTAGTAGAAATACCAAAAAAAATGTACCAAGAAAGCAGCACTTATATGTACAGACATTTAAACATATTAACTATTTATTAATGTTTATTGTAAAAGAAGTGAAAATTCTACAAAAGATTGAAAGTAGAAATGGTATACATTATGAAAATACCTGAATATGTTTTTAGAATTAGATTTACATAAAATGAGTGAAAATCTGATATTTTAAAGGAAAACTAAACCAGAAACAAATGAATATATTAGAAAGGACAACCAAGTTGTCTAGAGTGATAATATTGTACTGTGTTTTAGTGTTTATAGATTTGTCATTGTGTAGTTGATATAGATGTGTGAATGAAATCAAGATTTGTTAGTATGCATGTCATGTTGTGCAAGTATAAGCAGGGGAGGTAATTCAGATTTGTTAGATTCATTTTATGTGACTTCATTTTTCAATTCAACTCATATAAGGATGATACAATCATATACTTGTATGTTCATACAGAAATCTATCATTTTGTGTAAAAAAAACTTTGCATTCCATTAAGGTTTTCATATTTTCTTCAATTTCAATCAATCATATTACAGATTTTGTTTAACCTAAAAATATTAACTGTCTTTATGACAGAAGAGAAAGTTTACAGATTATTTGAGATAAGAATTCACTCTCTTATCATGTATTATCTCTGAAGATTTTCACATGTTACATAACAATGAATATGATTATAAAACACATCATGATTTTGGCTTTCAACTGAATTAAAAGAGAAGGTCTTTTCATACAGTTAGATTTATTGACTGCCAAAGTATTTTTATGACAATCACACATATCAAGGTATTAAACATAAGAGTAAACAAGCACTTTGATTTATTGTACCATTATATAATAGTACTATTGAGTTAATCAAATCCCATGTATATTTCTTTCATTTCTGACCTTCAAAAATTTATAGGTCATATTTTTGACAACATAAATTATCTGATAAAATCAAACTATTCTGCTGTCCCTTGTTTGTGATATGTTTTGATTAAGTCAATGCATTTCGCTGTCATTATATGGGTTTAGCATGTCATAAGTGACTTGAATTCAGAAAGATTCATTTGTTCCTGTTTGCTTAGATGCCCACTGGTTAGTCTTGTTACAAAATGAATGGTAAATTGAGTCAAAAATTTTATTCTTCCATTTAATTGATAACACAGTATAAATAAGTTTGTTGTTAATCCAAACTTACCAAAAAGAGATATAAGTTATCTATTATAACATGATCTTCTGCACTCTGAAATGAAATAAATGAACTGTTTGGTGAATTATCCATTCAATTCAAAGGTTTAATGTTAAAGATTATAAAATATAAATTACAGCTAACCTTTATAAATGTGTAATAAGTATATAGTTTGTTCGGTGGATCATTTTTGCCATTGTTTACAAGGATACAAATAGAGTTTAGTTTGACTAAAATTGTTTCTATATTTAATATAGCTAGTCCTGCATTTATGGTCACCAAACAACTGTGAATTCTTTGTACAAACTACACACTTAAATAGTCTAGCTTTTCATACAAATGATGAAATGGTGTTGCATTATTGTGAAATACTACTTCCAAAGAAACATATAATTAATTTATGTATATTTTATAACCTATTACTAAGATATTCATATTTTATTTCCTACAAAAACAGCATAATTTGCATAAGTCCCTGAATTAACTGGTTGACAAATCTTTAGTGAGATAGAGAGTGTGATATATGGTGCTGAAGTTTTATCAGAACTCTATGTATGTATGTGTCTTAATCTATGCAATTAGATTAATAAAGCTTATTTAAATTATAAGATCTGAGTTTAATTTTTATACATGAATAAAAAATATGAGGTGTATAGGTCAATGAGACAGCAACCCAAAGATAAAAATAACCAAAATACATTTAGATGAGAACATGCAGCCTTCAACAAAAGACAGGTTTCTAAATAATATGTCAATCTCTAAATCGTTTGGAGTCGATTGAAGATGTGGATAAATTGACAACACCCAATTCCCAAATTAATGAAAACAATATAATACATTATACCACAATAACTGACGAATTTCCTGTTAAAATAACAAAAAGATATCTAGATTGTAACATGCAGTCTTCCACAATAGACAGGTGTCTATACAATATGCCAGGCTTTAAATTATCTCTGTCTATGAACAGCGTGAAAAACTTTTATCTGAACCAATAAAGATCTGCCATTAACACACAGTTCTCCAAATTACAAAATACATAAAGAAATAATGTATTACTGGAGATGTTCCTGTCTAGGGACAAACAAGTGGTGTTACACTATTTTTGTCTCGTCTACAATGAAAGTCTCTGAAGGCGAGACATAGGTGGTGGGTGCATCTACAATTGTTTAGTTAGTTTGAAACGAACTACTTTTGATAGATCAATGATATTTTCTTTAAAGTTGCATTACTATCAGTACATATCAGTTTGATAACTATTTTGGGCCCTGCCTCCTTGGTCATGGTCAAGTGACTTTGAATTAATTATCAAATTTCAATGTTAAGTTTTCTGCTTTAGTTCATTTGATAGGTACTTGTTGTGAAAGTTCAATGATGTTGTGTATAAAGTTGCATTAGTATCAGTACATATCAGTTTGACGTCTATTTTGAGGCTCTGCACCGTAGGTCCAGTGATTTTGAATTAATTAGCAATGTGGCTGTCAATCAAATTTTTTTTTTTTTCTAATTTTCTGCTGACAGGCGAGACATATCTCTGTGTCAACAATTTATTTTAGACTATAATGAAATCAACATTCTATTGTAAATTTGAACACGTATTAGTTAGTTATTTTACAATAAGTATGTTTATGGACATAACATTACCTTTTATATGGATACCTACTGAAAATATATTGCAGTTACTCTTAACTTTCATCTTTCTTGTATAAAATAATTATATTATATAGTTTTATTATTCAAATATTGACTAGGCTAAAGGGAGATAAGTCTCTTAGTGGATTTTTCTGAAATTTTATATTATGGCTTGTGTCAGCCATGCAAACAACTGGTATAATTTCTTTCAAGTAAATATTCAATAAGTTTTAGCAGCAGTAAAAGCTACTTACAATGTATGTTACATTTTCAAGGGAATCCCAATTACTACAAAGAAACGCCTATTCAATGCAATATTTGGGGTCCTGAAATAATTTCTGTGAAAGAAAGTGCAGTATTCATTATTATGTTGGATTGGTCAAGAGAATTGTAGAACTAACAAGAATATTTGAATATTCAATATTCCGAAGCAAAAAATTATTACGACACATGATTCTGATTAAGGATATTTTGTTAAAATGTTCCAATTGCATGGTTTTACCAGTATAGATCTACATCCTTTGAGAAGTGCACAGCAGTATCAATAGAGATTATTGTTATGACACCATCCAAAATGAAAATTGTAAAAACAATATCCTCAACTTGCAATACCTCTTTCAGGAACTGTTGAAATTATGTATAACTACATTACATGAACTCCACTAAGATGTTACAGCAATATTTGTAAGAAATATCCATGGTTGGCATTGTTACAGCCATGTGTCAACAAACTGATTCTTTGACGATATCAATGAAAGGTATTGTTACACCATCATTATTTGTTGACTGTTATGAAATACCCATGTTACTGGTGACCAATGATATGTTCCACATTTCCGTCCTGTTTTATAGTGTCCCTAATAACACTGATATCTTTAATGACTTTTTAGTACATCACTGAATGTGACTTATTTCCTGATTTTTTTTTACTTTCCAGAGGCAATATTTTTGCTGCCACTAATGGATCAGGAATTGCTGACAATTCCATAGTATTGCAGTTAACTCCTGGATATTTTTGGTGTTCTTGTTGATGATTCTTTAGTTCCCTATAAAGTGTTGTGTCGGTTGTTGTCTCTCTGTTCTTCTTTTTGCTTTATTCATGGTGTTATCTGTCTGGGTTTTTTTTTCCTTTGTTCATGGTGTTGCCTGTATGTTCTTCATTTTGCTTTGCTCATGGCGTTGCCTGTATGTTCTTCTTGTTTTGTTCATGGTGTTGTTTGTCTGTTTTTCTGTTTGCTTTGTTCATGGTGTTGTCTGTCAGTTCTTCTTTTTGCTTTGTTCGTGGTGTTGTATGTCTGTTCTTCTTTTTGCTTTGTTCATTGTGTTGTCTGTCTGTTTGTCTTTTTGCTTTGTTCATGGTGTTGTCTTGTCCTTTCTTTTTGTTTTGTTCATGGTGTTGTCTTGTCAGTTCTTTTTGTTTTGTTCATGGTGTTGTCTTGTCAGTTCTTTTTGCTTTGTTCATTGTGTTGTATGTCTGTTTGTCTTTTTGCTTTGTTCATGGTGTTGTCTTGTCAGTTCTTTTTGTTTTGTTCATGGTGTTGTCTTGTCAGTTCTTTTTGTTTTGTTCATGGTGTTGTCTTGTCAGTTCTTTTTGTTTTGTTCATGGTGTTGTCTTGTCAGTTCTTTTTGTTTTGTTCATGGTGTTGTCTGTCTGTCCTTTTTGCTTTGTTCGTGTGTTGTCTGTCTGCTTTCTTTATGCTTTGTTCGTGGTGTTGTCTGTCAGCTTTTCTTTTTGCATTGTTCATGGTGTTGTCTGTCTGTTCTTTTTCCTTTGTTCATGGTGTTGTCTGTCTGGTTTTTTTTTTTACTTTGTTCTTGGTGTTGTCTGTCTGTTTTTCTTTTTGCTTTGTTCATGGTGTTGTCTGTCATTTCTTCTTTTTGCTTTGTCTATGGTGTTGTCTGTCTGTTCTTTTTGCTTTGTTCATGGTGTTGTCTGTCCGTCCTTTTTGCTTTGTTCGTGTGTTGTCTGTCTGCTTTCTTTATGCTTTGTTCGTGGTGTTGTCTGTCAGTTTTTCTTTGTGCATTGTTCATGGTGTTGTCTGTCTGTTCTTTTTCTTTTGCTCATGGTGTTGTCTGTCTGTTCTTTTTCTTTTGCTCATGGTGTTGTCTGTCTGTTCTTTTTGCTTTGTTTGAGGTGTTGTCTGTCAGTTTTTCTTTTTGCTTTGTTCATGGTGTTGTCTGTCTGCTTCTTTATTCTTTGTTCATGGGGATGTATGCCTTGTCTTCTTTTTCCTTCGTTTATCGGGTTGTCTGGCTGTTCTTCTTTTCGCTTTGTTCGTGGTGTTGTCTGTCATTTTTCTTCATATGTTTTTTAATGTCCCTTGGTTTCTTCTTCTTTTTTTTAAATACCTTAAAATGTTATTGTTAAGAGTTATGTAACGGCTAAAATTAGCACTTATGGCAACTTTTTCAAAAGATTATCACAAACATTATGTTCAGCTTTATTCTTAGCTCACCTGGCCTAGAGGGCCAAGTGAGCTTTTCTCATCACCCGTCGTCCGTCGTCGTCTGTTAACTTTTACAAAAATTTTCTCTTCAGAAACTACTGGGCCAAATTTAATCAAACTTGACCACAATCATCATTGGGGTATCTAGTTTAAAAAATTTGTCCGATGACCCCGCCTGCCAACCAAGATGGCCGACATGGCTAAAAATAAAACATAGGGGTAAAATGCAAGTTTTGTCTATTATTTTGAAAACCGTTATAAATAGAGAAATCTGACAGGAGCAGACATGTTCAGAATGTTGAACTCTATACCAATTATCCGTATACGTCAAAACTTTTCCATTTTTGCTTATTATCTTAACTATAATAGATAGAGAGAAACTTTAAATTGCAAAAAAATATCTGCAAGACAAGTTCTACAAATAAGTCTACATGGTCGAAATCGTCAGTCGACTCCTTATTAGAGTCATTGCGCTTTGGTGACGATTTTTACCATTTTTTTTGCGTTTTTGCCTTATATCTTGCAAATTATAATAGATAGATAGAAACTTAAATGAGCAAAAATCATCAGCAAGACAAGATCTACAATTAAGACAATATCGAAGAAATCGTACGACGACTCCTTATTGCAGTTATTGTCCTTTAAGGACGATTTTTACTCTTTTTTTCACGTTTTGCCTTATATGATAAGAATTATAATAGATAAATAGACACATTAAATTACAAAAATGATCAGCAAGGCCAGATCTACTAACAAGTCAAATTTTGTCGATATAGTTAGTAGACTCTCACTCTTCATAGGAGTGATTGCCCTTAAATGAGGATATGTTTTACCCTCTTTTGTGTTTTGAGCAAAAACTAAAAAAGCTAGACAGAAACTAAACAGAGATGATCAGTAATACAAGATCAACAAAACAGGCATTTTTGTCATGCATGATTCTATTCTAGTCTACAATGTTGGAGAGTGTCCTTTGTTGAATATGCACACAGACCAAGGTGAGCGACACAGACTCTTTAGAGCCTCTAGTTACTCTATTTCTTAAAAGTGGTAATTGTTCTGGCAAAGATTGCAGAAGAATTGTGGCACCGAATATTCAGTAATAATTGTTACATCAGCAGAACTAAGAAGCATTGTTGCAATATGTGTATATGCCATTCTTACAGTCATACTTCCAGAATGCATCTCTTGGTGTTATTGTTCAGCATTACCTGTAGTATGATTTGTTACAATATCTCCAGTTGTCATAGTTTCAGAAACACGATTGAAAATCCTGAGGGCATTGCCACAGTAATTTACATTTTGCTCCAGCAGTATATGCAGTAGACCTTGTTTTATATATCTCTAGTGTCCATTGTTATCTCAATAATTGGACCCTGCTAGAGTAACAACTTCAGTCTCATATTAAAGGATTGTTAATGTACTAGTGTACTGTAATCATATTCAGTTTTCCAGGCATCCAATTTTCAAGGTTTGTTTTAGCATGTATTGTTTCTAAGTCCATGCTATGACAATATTATTGTATAGCGTCT